GGGGGCCGGGGTAGGGGACCCCCACCTGCCCCCCGGCCCACCTCAAGATACAACTCTTCATCTATTAGCTCAGGTACCAGAAGCAGACAGCTGGGTTCATAAATGTGGGGTGAAAGGAAAGATGATGGACACCTGACTCCCACCTCCTCTTCTTCCTCTGACCAGTGCTGAAGGATCCAGACAGTAATCCCTACAGCCTACTGGACACGTCTGAACCAGAGCCCCCAGTTGATTCAGAGCCTGGAGAACCCCCCCCAGCAAGTGCCAGGCGTCGTCGCTCCCGCCGCCGCCGCACTGATGAAGACAGAACTGTCATGGACGGAGGCCTGGAATCTGATGGGCCCAGCATGACAGAGAATGGCCTGGGTAAAGGGTGTACCTGGGTCTGAAAAATTAAGAGTTGGGCAAGAATTGAGGGATGGGAGATTGATGCACAGCTCTTGTTTTTCCCTGCCCCACAGAAGATGAGTCAAGACCCCAGCGTCGTAATCGGAGCCGCCGCCGCCGTAACCGTGGTAACCGGACTGATGGTTCTATCAGTGGAGACCGTCAACCAGGTCAGCTAACACTGGATGTCAGCATCGTTCCTCAGAGAACAGGATGCTTCCTATCCTGTGAAAACTAGGGGTTGGGGTTCAGTGAGTGTCTAGGGGCTGGATACCTGGGTTCCTTCTGAAACTCTTGGTCCTCTGCCTTTTCCAGTGACTGTGGCTGACTATATCTCCCGAGCAGAGTCTCAGAGCCGCCAGCGGCCACCCCTAGAACGCACTAAACCTTCAGAGGACTCTCTTTCAGGACAGAAGGTAGGAAAGCAACATGTAGTTTACCTCAACGCCTTTTTTGTTATTCTGGGGCAGGGGACATAAGAAAATTCCCAAAGAAATCTCTTATGAAATTGCAGAGAGGGCATGTCTGATGGAGTTTTAGACTGCATTTAAGAATAGTGGAAAGTCTGAATAGAAGAGAAAGGAAAGTTTGGTTCATATTTTCTGGATTCCAGTAAAAGTGACTAGAGAGTCACATCAGGGGACCAACCCCTGGATGACCAGATGCCTTAGAGCACCTAGGTGGTAGGGAATGTCATTACCTGAATTTCTACTGATCATTTTCTTTTCTTCCTCTCCATTTTCTTTCCCACTTCCCTCTCAGGGTGACTCTGTCAGCAAGCTTCCTAAGGGCCCCTCAGAGAATGGGGAGCTCTCTGCCCCTCTGGAGTTGGGTAGTTTGGTGAATGGGGTTTCATAAACCCTCCAGCCCACATCCCTCCCTTCTCCATCTCGCTTGCTGCCCAACACCATGGCCCTCACAGGCCCGACTGACCTGCGCTGGAGCTGCTCTTATCTAGGGGGGAGGGGGGTGGCACAGCAGCTTGGGTCCCCCCCAACCTCCAGGAGCTAGTGGAGGGGTGTGTAACAGGGTCATACCCCCCTCCCTCTTGTCCACCCTACCCCCAGGGTGAGGGGAGCCCCTCTCTCCTTCCCCATCAGACTGGATGTGCCTTTATCCTCTAATGCCCCAATCTCTCTCTGAACACCCCCATTCTCCGCCTGTTGGTGCGGGGTGCTCCTTGACCCACCCAGATTTGACAGTTCAGGGGGGCTCCCCTGCTATCCCTCCTCCCGTCCTGTACCCCCCATTTCTGGGGCCTCATCACTGTGGAAGACGGGGATAGTAAGGGTATAAGTGGGTGGGAGGCATGGGGAAGGTTTTGGAGTAGAACCAGGGGTGTGTATGAAGGGGGGTGACAAGGTCCCCCAGGGGAGGGGGGACCAACCTTGTCTGGTGGATGAGAAGGCGTATTTATTTTTCACTGTACAGTATTTAAAAAGAGAATAAAAAAAATCCAAATGGCTTTCTGGTTCCTGCACCTTCTTTGTGCCCAGTGTGGCCCATCTGTTTCTGTAGGACTGACCTGCCCTGGCCCTTTTTACCTGTATCTCCATACCTGGCTTCTCTAGCATTCCTGAGATGGTCTACTTGTGGGGATTTCTGACATTCCTAAATTCCCCAGGTACAGGTACCTGCCTGGTCTAGAGGAGAGTGGCTTGTGCCTTGTTGCTTCTCCCCTCCCCCAAGTTTGCTGGTAGAGGGAGCTGGGCCACTCCTATACCCTGAGTCACAGCAGTGTTGGTAGGACTGCTTGAAGCTGGACCTGTTCCTGCTAAGTGCTGAGAGCCAAGGCAGGCAGCTTAATCCGATTACCTGAGGCCTGGGGCTTGGGCTGGGCCTTAGGCAGAGTGGGGAGCAGGGTTTCCTCACGACAGCCCCTGGGATGTAGGTGTCCAGCCCTCATTCCTGCTGGTTCTCTGCTCTGGATCCAGGCCTTTTCTCCAGCAGCTGCATCACTGACCTCTCAGCCTCAGGAGTTATCCTGGGGTTCCTTGCTCCCTGCCTCCTCCTGACTGTAAGGTTTGGAGATAAAATTTTTTTGTGGTGGAGAAACCTAGGTTTAGGGGCTGTAGTTAGGAGGGTTTAAATTTTCTCACTTGGAAAGGGGTTGAATCACCACCCAAGCACCTGTTGGGATGACTCAGGAAACAAAAATGGCCTGCCTACCTCCCTCTGACTGCCTGACTTTTTGCCCTGGGGTAGGTGGGGGGTTTGAAGAGCTTTAGGCAGCAAAGAATGGATTGGGTTGGGGGTTTGGGTGTTCCCACCTTCCTCCCAGCACAACTCAGACCCTGAGGGCTTTTGATCCCCTTGTGCTTGATCCCGTTGTGCAGAGTCATTGACTTTAAATTGCCTACGCTTAAGAAGGGAGGGGAAACTGCTCAGAGCTACTGGGGCTAGAAGGCCTGACTTCTGGGTCTTGGGTGGGGAGGGGGCGTGGTGCCCCTAGGAGGAGCGTTGGGGGCTGGGAAGAACAGGACGTCTGAGTTTGCCTAAGGGAGGGGGATGTTGGCGCCCTTAAGGAGGCGCGGTTGACTGGGAGGGAGTGGGAGGAGTCAGTCTTTAAAAGCTGTTCCCGGGCCTGGCTCACCCGCCGCCGCAGACGCCGAGGCCAGGTGAGAAAGCGCTGTGGCACCTGGGCTTTGCCTACTGGTGGCTGCGGGACTCCGGCGGCTGCGGGACTCCAGGCAGCGTGAAGGTTTACTGCCTCCACCGAAGGCCGGGCCGGTGGCCGGCAGCAGGTAGGGGCAGCCGGTCTGGGTTGGAGATCCGGTGGCAACAAGGAAAGGAGAGCACACCTGCCCAGGACCGGGTACTAGACAGCGGATTTTGCGCTCGACTTCCCAAAAGGGTGTCGGGTTGTTTGGGCGCAGGGGCTCGGTTATAAGGACTCTGAACTTGGGGACGATATATATACTTTCTAAGAAGACGAGTTTCTCTGTAACGACTCCGGACTAGGAAGACACTTCCATTTTAAGGATAGTGGGTTTGGGAATCGACGTTTCACTTTGGAGGGGAGGGCGTGTAGGACGCCCTCTTAAAGCTTCCCTCCACCCTCCTCATGGCGCTACCTGGCTCACAGGACCAGGCCTGGAGCCTGGAACCTCCCGCTCCCACGGCCCTTACCTCCTTGTCCTCGGGCTCCCAGGAGCAGGAGAGCGCCGGGAGCCCGTTAGTATCCCGGGGGCTTCCCTTGGAGAAGGTGAAGCGACCCATGAACGCGTTCATGGTGTGGAGCTCTGCCCAGCGCCGCCAGATGGCGCAGCAGAACCCGAAGATGCACAACTCGGAGATCTCCAAGCGCCTGGGCGCGCAGTGGAAGCTGCTGGGCGAGGAAGAGAAGCGGCCCTTCGTGGAAGAAGCTAAACGGCTCCGGGCCCGGCATCTGCGCGACTACCCCGACTACAAGTACCGGCCCCGGCGCAAGACCAAGAGCTCGTGCGCCAGGTCCCCCTACTTCGATCAGGGAAGCGGCAGCGTGGCTGGTGGCGGGCCCGTCTGGGCGACCGGGTACGCGACCACGCAGGGGAGCAGAGGCTTTGGGTACCAACCCCCCAACTACTCGACAGCTTACCTGCCTGGCGGTTACAGGTAAGTGCCCAGGGCGTGGGATGAGGACGGAGACGCTTGTGCGCCGCGCCCCCCAACTCCTGGAGCCGGGGGCGGGGGGAGGGAATACCAGAGGGCCTGGCTGGCAGGGGCCCTGAGCCTACCCAAGCAACAGATGATCCCGGAGGCGTTTGGGGGACGACCTGTGGAGAGTGGGAGGGTTCCAGGGGGCCAGGAGGTTTTCATCTCAGTTGGGCAGTGTTGGCCCCGCAGGAGCAGACCACAGCCCCCTGGATGTGATGTGTTCTAGTTACCTGAATCCACCCCCCACCCCCCTTTCTGGCCCTCTTGTGACCCCGCTTCCTCTCCCAGCCCCCGGGGCAAGGACAGGCCAAGCCCAACTCTGCCCCTTCCTGGCCTGCCGCCCCATAAGAGGAAAACAGGCGCGCAGCACGCAAGCTCGCTCTTGAGCGTGCCCGAACACGGCCGTGGCAGGGCTGCTTTAAGCCATCCTGAGATCCGGTTCCCGACCTGCGGTACCCAGTAGGGCCCGGATAGCCAGGGATATGTAAATGGGTGACAGGTTCTGCCTCTGTCTGCACAGAACTGGTCAGACCCACCCCAACATGAGAGTTGGGGACCCTGCTTGGCACCTCCCACCCAAAGAAGCAAGCACCTTCTAACCCTAGTTATTTCTCTTTGCAGCTCTTCCCACTGTAAACCGGAGGCTCCCTCACCGTGCTCTCTCCCTCAGAGTAACCCTAGGCTCCAGGGGGAGCTGCTCCCCGCCTACAACCCCTACCTACCCCCAGGCTCTCCCACTCTGTACAACCCTCCCCTCACAGGGGCCCCCACGCCCCTAACCCACCTCTAACCCTCATGGACATGGGCCTCCCAGAAAGGTTTCCATCCTCCTTTTCCACCCAGAACCACCCTCCACCCCAGGCTGCAAACCCTTTTTTAGAACTGTTGACCACAGTCCAGAGGAGGTGGGCAGTACCCCCTCATACCCCCAAACTCCAGGGGAACACAACACTTATATTTTTGTAGGCCAAACACAGTTTTATATGATTAAACCATGTCTCTGAGTCTTTATTGTCCCATCTGTTCCTCTTCACTGCAGCAGGAACCAGCATGGTTTCCACTCCCTTCTGCCTGGACCTGCCAGAGCAGGAACCTCCTCACCCAACCCTGGGGCCCTGCCTGAGTCATTTTTCTGTCCCCCTCCCCCTGCCCCCGAACCCTACACCGGGGTCCAGGAGACAGTCTGGGTTGGGCTGGGGAAGGGAGGCAGCCACAAATGCCTAGTCCCTTCCACTGTCCAGGCTCTGTCCTCTAGGGCTAGAAGGGAAGTGGGGAGATGGGAGGACAGGGTAAGACTTTTGCCTGGAATAGTTAAGTAGCTATAAACTTCTACTAAAGGAAGAATCTCAGCCAAATGACTAAACAAGTCAATAGTAATACACCGGACAGCACACAATAGATGTCAAAATGTCAGCCTGAAAATCTCTACTCCTATCCTAAGGATTTGGGACAACCAAGCATTTCTACTAAAGTTGCAACTGCAGAAGGATGGGGAATGGTCACACCAACAGGCTGGTTAAGATGAGAAGGGCCCTGAGGTTGGGTGGGTGAATGAAACATGGAATGTACTTTCAGTAGCCAGCTGAACTTTACTGTTCCTTTTTCTTCCTGTGGGGAGCTTTTGCATTCCAGTAGTAGAGGAGCTGGGCAGCGATGAGGCCATTGCAGAGAGAAGAGACTATAAAAGTTCCAGCCATGAGGAGGTCTCCAGTTTCCTGGGTGAGACACAGCTAGGGTCACTCTTCAGCACAGCCAAAAGAGTTCCCGAGAAGGGGCAGCTTTTAAGCCCTCAGCTCAGGAGAGGTAAGATGAGGTTATAGTGCCCTCTAGAGGGAAGGAGGTGCACTCACCTGAATGGAGGTGAAGATTCGAGCCAGGGACCCTCCAAAGAGCAGAAAGACTGTGATTGCTGAGAGCTGGCCAGTGTGCCCGTTGCGATAGTTGGTGGCTGCCTGGAGCAACTAAGGGAGGAGTTAAAAGCCTTCATTCTGTGATCTGAACTCTTCCCATGTTCCCCTGATATTTCCACATTTCCCAGTCCAACAGTCCCACACTTTGGGTTTCTGCTCTGCCCCTCACCCAGTCCCCCCTCCCAACATCCTCTCCTTTGTTCCCAGCACCCACCCTTCCCACCACCACAGCAGGCACGTTGAAGGCCTGGAGGAGGGTGACTACAGCCACAGGTGTCAGTGGTGAAAGCAGCACCAGCAGGCCCAGGGCATAGCACACTAGGAAAGCGACACCTGGGGACAGGGAGACAAGAAGTCCTTATCAACTTCTGAGTCCTCTGGCTTCCCCAGGCCTGCGTTCCCAGCAGGGCTCTCAGGAGTGCAGCCAGCTCTTGGGGTAAATCCTCAGCACCTTTCATGGTTTGTCCTCTGTAGTGCAGGACCAGGAAGGCGATGGTGATTGTCTGGAGCATCAGGAACAAGGCTTCACCCCAAGAGCTGCGGAGTCAAGAGTTGGGAGGAAGAAAGGCAGGCCTGGAAAGAGGCAGGGAAAGCCTCCATAGCCCCGTCCATCTTGGGGACACAATTCTCTGATTACTTCCTGTCCTCCACAGCGCTAGTGGTTCCTTACCTCCTGCCTCCCAGCAGCCCCCACCTGACTGACTCAGGATTGGATTGTGGGCATTCTTGAAATGTTCACCTCTCATGATCACCATAGATGATGGCTAAAGTCTCAGAAGGGCTTAAGCTTTTCCTGCCCTTTTACCTCTCTCACCCTAACCCCCAACTAGAGTTGTAAGCATTTACCCTTGGAGATAAAAGGTGGGGCCCCTCACCTGAAGGGGAAGTTTCTGGTGATGCTGTAGACCATGGTCCCAGTCAATGCTACTAACTCTAGCACTATGGACTGGTAACTCAACCCTTCGGAACTCTTGGCTCTCAGGAGTTTAAACACTTGGGGCAGTTTTACTGGAGAAAGGAAGAGAAAGACACAGTTGAGCTGACATCCCTTGGGAACACAACACAACGGCTACAGAGTGGACTGGGGGGGCATATTAACCCCACTTTGGGTAAGGGACCCATTTAGTTTATGGTATCTTAGAATTCTACCCACCTCCCAACATGAGGGAAGGAAGATAAAATACATACCCAGAAGTGACCCAGCCACAATGCCCAGCCCCAGGCCTTTGCTGAGAAGAATCTTGAGGCAGGGAACTGATAAGACAAAAACGGATAAATAGAAAGGAGACCTCTGGAAGCCAGGCTAAAGTTTCCAGGAGGGAGCTCAAGCCTAAGGCCTGAAGTGCTCCTTAAGACCTTGACATGCCCTCAAAGGAAGCCCTGGGTTGTCTGGAGGTGGGTGAGAAGGCCTAGTTCTTCCTACTCTAAATCATACCACATTCATACAAGGCGACTTTCCCAAACAACTTTTACTATTCCTCTCCTCTGACCCAAACTTCCATCCCCTGCAGATCACATTAAATTCCTCCATCTGACTTCCAAGGCTTTCCGTCACTTCCCTGCATAGGGCTGAGCAATGCCCAAGAGTCCGCTGATTCTTTATTCCCTGCTTCCGAGCAACTAGGCAAGCTTCCCGACTCTTCTCTCTCCAAGGACAGGTCTCCTCTGTATCTTATTCTTGACCACTGTCCGTGGCCCAGACTCAAACACTTAACCCTACCCTTTCAGGGCTTTCTTTTATGCCCTGACCATCTGTATCTTCTATAGCCTTGAAGCTTGGCCCAGTGGGAGTGGGATTCTCATGGGTCAGGAATGCGGCTAAAATACTAAAACATGTTGTCCCTAGAGCATAGTGGGGGTACCATGAACTGACGAGGGCACAATGGGAAGACTTCCCAAACGGTCTGATGTCTGAGACAGGCTTTGCCGTGGTGTTGCCTCCAGATAATAAGAAAAAGACATGCCAATTAATTCCAGAATTAGTCCATGAGCAAACGTGGAGGCTGGAAGGAAAGCCACTGGAATGGCAGGAGCCTTTGGGGTGCTGCAGAAGGCCTGCGTTCATCAGAGGCTTTAAATCAAGTGTAACCTTGCTCCTGAACCTACCAAAGATTGGAAGGATCTGGTCAGATTTTAACTTTGTTTTGTAAAATTTGAGTCTTTTCGTCTTTCACTGTCGCTAAAGCAAAGAAACACTTCCACCTGGGCGACTCCCCCTCTAACCCAAATATGGCGTTCTCCCTCTACGGAGCCCGAGACACTTTCGCCCCTCTCAGAAGTAACTTCCGCCCGGTTCGGCGTGGCAGTAGTCTCCGCCATCACTTAGTCCGTACCGACGGCTCATTTACGGCCCGAGGGATCTCGAGTAGAACTTCGATCGGATGCCGAATAAGACTCACCGTGAAGCAAGTCCCACTGGACGAAAATTTGGTCGTAGCATTTCTCAGGTAAAAGAATCGGCACCAGCACCAGTTTGAGTAGCCCGTCTGCCTCAGCCGCCATATTGCAAAGCTAGCTTCCGCCCGTCCCTCAGCCCGCCATTGATTTACGGTGCGCATGCGCGCTCTGGGCACTCCGCCTCCTGTCTTCCCGCGACTAAGCAGGACCGCCCCCGGTCCCCGCTCTTTCTTACGCCGTCCCACCTTCGTTAGCGTAAAATAGGTCTCTTCCGGAGACGACAGTTTCTGGACACACCCTCCCTGCTGCTCGAATTTTAAAGCGTGCCAAAGTTGTACGCCTGCGCAGTGCCACCTTTCGCGCCTTTGTTTACGCTTCCGCTTCGGTACCGAGAGTTATCCTCCTGCCTTTCTCCGCTCCTCCTGCTCGGCGCCATCTTGTCTTCTTCCAGCTGACTTTACATTGTTCGAAGTTGAGAGAAGGAGCGTGAGTCTCCAAAATGGCGTTGGGTGGGGGCTCTCTAGCTTTCTATGTGCTGTACTCTCTGCGTCTCCAGAGGAAGCTTCGCCACGGGAGCGGGACAGTTTGATCTAGGCAGCCACCCCCATCGGCGCCTGTGTTGTGTGTCTCCCTCCTTAGGTTCGCCAAGTTCCTGGCGGATGGGTGCACCTGCAGCTGCTGGGCCGGGACAGTGAAACAGGAGAAGGGGAGGTGGGGAGGGCGAGTCCAGTTTCAGGGGGCGTCGACGGCCCCAGCCCTGGCAGCCTCTGAAACGCGAGCCCCCAGGCACCTCACCCCACTGGCCCGAGGGCACCACCTCTGGGCCAGGGTTGGCTTCTCAGCCTTATCTGACCACGTGCTGAGCCAGGACTTGGGCAAGGCGGCCGGGGCCCAGCAGCTCGTCTTGGGAAAGGGCACCTTGGACTACCGCGGGGAGGGATGCCCTCTGTCATCCGGCACTAGGACACCAAGTCTAGGTCATCTCGGTGGAGGTAGGCCGGCCATCATGCTCTGGTGGCCGGGTGCCTGCTGGGAGTACCACGCCCTTCGGTGACTCCTAATTGGCGAGGTCGTACGGGGTGTCTGCACGGCGGTGGTGTGGCTGCTGGATCCCTGCCACTTGCGGGCTCCCCTTAAAGGGGTGGGTCTCCAGATCCTGGTGGCCGCTTTCTGTAGCCTTACTAGGCTCCAGCAACTGGAAGGGCCCCTGGGGATTGCGTCATGGCCGACTGTAAGGGTGGGGGGCACTGGCACTGATTGGTCGTGCAGGGATTGGTCGTGCAGGCTGTTGTTGTTTGGGAGGTCCTTTTTGGAATCAACACAGGCAGCCCAGGGCGTGCCACCCGCCACCACTAGGTACACCACCAACCGGGACATCAGGGTTGGCTCGGCAGGTGGCCTAGGCTGGAGGCATGTTGTTCCCAGGAGCATAGAGGGTAATTGTACGTGGAGGTCAGAGTACCCACTGCTCCCATGTTTGATGAAAACCCTTTGCAGGTGAGATAGGAGCATCCCAGGTGTTGCAAGGGTTTAATCCGGGCTGTTTGCTAGCCCTGGACCTGGTGGGTAGGGCAGGGAATTCTTGTTGCTAAGGAGCCACTGCTGCTGCCTTTGGAAAGGAAGTGACACAGCTCCGACCTTCCCACCTACACTCATTGCTATGGCTGCCTGCTTCACCTGCATGTAATTGTATATAAAGATCAGGAAGAAGGCTGTCAGGATGAGTGACTCCACTGGATTGGAGGTGAGAGGGAGCTGGAGCAGCCAGGGGCCCCAACAGAAGAGAAGGAAGGGAGGTGAGGCCGATTTGACAGCTGCTGTGCCAGGCTTTGGAGAGTGGACCCATGAGGGCGTTGGGTCACACACAGTGGTATTTTCCTCCCTCCTCACCAGAGTTTCTGGCTCCCTGAGACTCAGCCATGGAAGGCACAGAAAGGCATGTGACAGGTAACTCGTGGCTTTTAATCTTGGGCAGGAAGGACAAAGAAGACCAAAAATAAAGACTTGAGCAGGTTTTACTATTCTGCCAATGGAAGGGAGATGTGGAAAGGGGAATCAGTCACGTTTAATAAACATCTCTCCGCTTATCCTTCCCGATTGCATTATCTCTACTTTTGTTCATCAAAAGACAGGGAAAGATGAAAATCTTGCCTCGGAGTCAGTTGAGTGGTGAGACATGAGGGCACCCCCTGGTGTCCTGGGTGTTGGGATGAATGCTCAGAGGGGCTGATAGGTGGGTGGGCGTCTCCGGACAATGCAGAATGTAACAAGCACCAGGATGAAGAGGCCGAGTAAGATCAGGCCGATGAGGAGAGGCAGCAAGATGGATTGGTCACTGGGACAAAAGAAACCTGGTGGAAAGACAGGGCAAGTAGGCATCACAATGGTGGTAGCTGAGATAAAGATGGGAAGGAGGAAGGAACGTGGGGGGCGTTGGGAAGTAGGGGCTCACCTAGATGACTCAGCAGGAGAGGAAAGGGGGAGAATGGGCAGTCCTGCAGAGGTGGGGAGGACAGTTGCCCTCACTGTGTGCCTAAGCTTGAGGTGGAGGAAATTTGAGGGTGCAAGAAGGGAGATTATAGGCCTGGGGTAGGTGGCTTTCGATGCAGTGGGAGAATTCTAGGAGGAATGGAACAGGTCTTACTTGGCCCAAAGGCCCCTGTGGGGGGCAGCTCAGCAGCTTGTAGCTTCAAGGAGAGCAGGTCAAGGTGGAAAGCTGGTGAAAGAATGATGCTTGCATTTCTGCAACTGAAGCTCCGGCCCAGGGGAGTTTGGAGATATTGAAGGGATGAATTCTGAACTGAGAATGTCCACTCTAATAAAAGAATGAGGAAGGTCAGTTCTATATCCATGACCCCGCCCTGCAGCTTAGGTTCCTTCAGGAGCCCAGACATCGAGTTAGTGCTAGTGATGAGAAAGGGGAGGTTACTTACGTGCTGCCTGGGGGAAGGACACATTGTACTCCACAGCCATATAGTTCAGGTAGACGATGCTCTGCAGTGGCTCCTGGGGAGGTGACCAGGAAGACTCAGGGCAGCAGGGGAGGGTGGCATCCAGGTTCTCAGAGTAAGGAATGCAGCAAGGGATTGATAGAGATAGGGCACTTGGAGGGTGAGAGTGAGGGATGAGAGTTAAGTACCTGCTTGAATCCAAAGCTGAGCTGTCCGTAGGGAAATGAGAGGAACAAATGGGAATGGGCCCCCTCACAGCCCCCCTGGGCCTTGGTTTTGTTGGGGTTCAGTACGGAGATGCCCCAGGCCTGCAGAAGTTAAAAGATGAAAGGGTCACAAGACCACAACTGTGCCATCATCCAGGGTTCCCAGTTCCCTTTGTCCTCACCCTGTTTGTCCCCTTCTCTACTCTTCTTCCCTTTTGAAACAGCAAAATGTCTCGTCCCCTTCCCCTTATGTCCTCCACTGTCTTTCAGCTTTACCTCTCCGCCACCCTGGGTCGGGTATAGAACTCGAATCTGAATCTGGGCTTGGAGCTGGACGCAGGGCTGGGAACCATTATTCCAAGTGTAGTTTCCTATCGCCTCCTTGGATCCTGGGCTAGGACTTGGAGAGGGTGGAGGTGGTCCTGGGTGGGGGGAACTGGTGGAAGACCCTGGGCTGGTGGCCGTGGCGTTGCTTGTTGGATGAACTGTGGTGTTTCCGTGACTGGTGGTGGTAGCAGGATTTTGAGTGGCTGTTGTAGACTTGTGGCTGGTGGTATCTATGGTTGTCGTTCTGTGAGTGGTGGTTCTGTGGCTGGTTGTCTTGTGGCTGGTTGTTCCAGTGCTTGCTGTGCTTTCTGTAGCTGTAGGTGTCACCGTGAAGGATGGCAGCAGAGTGGCCGATTTTTTATGAGGACAGTCATTCCCTGTCCCCTGGGCTTTCAGCAGAGGAAAGACTGGTTAGTAGCCCAGGGCCAGGCTCTTCCCCAGGGCTCCCTCCCCTTCTGTCCCTTCTCCTTACCTGCTAGTAGCCCCAGCAAGACCCCAGAGAAAAGCACAGCCAGCCTCATGTCAGAACAGCCTCCAGAGCCCAGCTAGGTTGTGTGTCAGTACCAGCTGCCTGCTCGGTCAGGGAACCCTGTCCCTCTGCCTTCGTTTGGAAAGAGGAATCTTTGACTTCCTGTAACCAAGATTACCCCGCACCCAGCCTGATTCAGGCACCTCAGCCCCAACCACCAAGCTTAGTCATTAAATTAGATGATTGGCCCTGGTATCAAGTGGGACTGTCAGCTCTCAGTGTCATGAGTTCCGGGATAGTTGACCCCTGGGGATTCTTGTCTACCTCAGCAAATCATGCTCAGTAGTTGTGACAAGTGGTTGCTGGCTCTGCAGCCCCTCCCTCAGAGAACAAGCTCAGTAGGATGTACAATTCTTTTTATTTCCACCCCCTTTCCTGTCCACTTCCTCTTTGCTGAGACATGTGAGGTACTTATGACAGTTCTTGCCCAACCTCTTACAGAAAGGTCACATTATCCAGTTAACATGACCATTTTCCCCTCAAGGAAGAAAAGCCCAAGAAAGGGTAAATTCTAGCTAAAAGCAGAGCTATACCCAGTAGCAGGTGGGAGGGAAGAGGGAAGAAATGAGAAGCCAAAGCAGGCAGTTTCCAAGTCATTTTATTCAGAATTTTATTTCCTGAATCAATAAATACTATACAAAACAATGTAAAAATGGCTACCATTTTCTCCCCCCTGCTCCCCCCACCTGGGGGTAATCCCCTGGGTTACCTAATTCAGGGGTTCTCCCTCCAGATTTGGTCCAGCAAATGAGGTGGAGTGTCATTGTAGTCCCTCTAGAACATTTTCAAAGGAATTCAGCTGGAGGTGGAGAGAGCCTCTGGGGCTTGGAGGTTGACTAGGTTAGGGAAATGAATTAGTGTTTCTGGGAAGAGACGGCGCCTGGGGCAAGAGCCTACCCCAAAGAAAAGGGTGTCTAAAATGTTCACGGTTCCTTCTTTTGCCTCAAAAAGTGACATTTATTCAAAGAAAAAAAAAAAGAAAAAAAATGACAAGATGTCCATCCCTTGGCTCCCTTCCTCCCTCCCCCCTCCTGCTGCTCCTCAGCCCCTCTTCAAGGGTTGATCCCTAGCTGGGGCTAGGTAGCAGAGTGGCCCCTTTCAGATGAGGTCAGCAACATTGAGGGGCATCTCCTCGATGGAGGTGTTGTAGAAGGTCTCGATGTCTCGAAGAGTCCTCTTATCTTCTTCTGTCACCATGTTAATGGCCACGCCCTTACGGCCGAAACGTCCACCACGACCGATCCTGGAAAACAAGGGCTCCTTGTAAGAAATAAGGGAAACGGGGAGAACCAGCAGTGTGAGCACAGGGAGGACTGCGCGTGAGGGGGCTGGGTCAGTAGTCCCGAGCTGCATTTACCTGTGGATGTAGTTTTCTCTGTTGGTGGGAAGGTCATAGTTGATGACTAATGAAACCTGCTGCACATCAATGCCTCTGGCCTGTGGTCAAAGACGACCAACTTCAGTGTATGAATTAAGAGAACACAGAAGACTTATCCAGCAAGACTTTAGCACACATGTAGGCAGCCAAAGGAAGGGAAAGAAAATCTCCTCCCCTGGAAACCTGAGGCATGCCAGATTTTATTCCAAGTTGCTACTTTCCTGAAGAGAGGCACTAGTAGGCCCCTTGGAGAGGGAATCACCTTGGATTCTCCCTAATCTTCTCCAAACTTGCCTCTACTCACCAGTAGGTCAGTGGTAATCAATACTCTACTAGAGCCAGAGCGGAACTCCCTCATGATTACATCTCGTTCTTTTTGGTCCATATCTCCGTGCTAGAACAGGAAATAGAAGGGTGTAACAGGTAGATACTTTGGCTTTAAGTAGGACCCTGACACATACACTCCACTGATAAAATAAGGTGGAGAAACCTCACCATGGCAGAGACAGTGAAGTCTCGAGCATGCATCTTTTCAGTGAGCCAATCGACCTTCCTTCGAGTGTTGATGAAGATGACTGCCTGGGTGATGGTCAGGGTTTCATACAAGTCACACAGTGTGTCCAGCTTCCACTCCTGGGGGTGGTGGAGGGGAGCAAAGAGATCAGTCAGGGGCTATAACCAACAACTTGCCACGAGGCCCGCCTCCTGCACTGGGCCCCACCTCTCGTTCGACGTTGATGTAAAATTGGCGGATACCCTCCAAGGTCAATTCTTCCTTCTTGACAAGAATTCGAATTGGGTCCCTCATGAACTTCTTGGTCACCTCAAGCACATCAGAAGGCATTGTAGCTGACAGCAAAACCACCTAGTGGGAAAAAAACAGCCTCAGGGGCAGGGGAAGCGCCAGAATTCTTTATGGTTTGGTGCCTGATAATGCTCTTCTGTTACCCCAGACACACCACAACCTATGTAAAGGCTGATCAGCCATACAAAAGCAAGTGTCCAAATATTCCTCTCACCTGGGTGTTGCTATTGAGCTTTTGGAATATGTCATAGATCTGGTCCTTGAACCCACGGCTTAACATTTCATCAGCTTCATCCAGTACAAACATCTTAATGTATTTGGGAGCTGCAAGGGAAAAAACCACCAACAGGTAATCATTAGGAAAATGTAAAATAAACTTTCCTCATAAAGAAAAGGGGGCAGCCGGTCTGCTCTCAGAATATAAAGACTGATCCTTTGCCTGGGACCCCCCCTTGCCAGGCCAAACAGCCCTGGGAAGTAGAACACTGCCTGGGCTGAGATGACAGGGGAGCCAGGCTCAGCTGACACGCATGGGGTTCATCACAGAGCAACTCTTTCTGAGGCTAAAGCTACCATCATTAGGAATGAAGTTGTGGCCACATTGAAAACTGGAAAAGCCCGCATAAGATGTGACCCAGAGAACTAGAAAATTTAGATACTCACACAAGTATCTCCGGTTAAGCATGTCGAACACGCGGCCTGGGGTACCCACGATAATATGAGGAGCTTCCATCTGCAGCTTCTGCACCTCAGCACGCACGTTGGTGCCCCCAATGCAGGCGTGACAGGAGGCACCCATGTAGTCTCCTAATGCCATAACTACCTTCTGTATCTGAACCAAAAAAAAAAAGTGCTCATATATTAGCTACAACTGCCAGGCCCCATTTTAAATGCTTACGTATTTATTTTGAACAACTCTTGAGACAAGCACTGTTGTTAAACTCGCTTTTCAGGCAAGAAACAGTTAAGTTAAACAATCCATTTAAGATCACACTGCTAAGTGGCAAAGTCTCAAAATTTGAACTGGTCTGGCTCATGAACAGATTCACAGTAACGGCCCTCTGAAATAATTTCAATATGGCTTTTTACCTTGTTAAACCTTACAGCTTTCTGAAAGCTAACTGTCCTATTTATTTCATCCTGCAGCAACCAGTTTTATATATGCAGTGACATCTATGACCTAAAGTGGTCCTGCCACAGAACTTATGCTAGAAGGCATATTTGCTGGTAAAGCACCTTCTAGACACAAGGGCCCTAGAACAGAGTTCTCCTGTAACTTCTTGCTTACATTACCTTTGTCCATAAGTCAGGAACAAAATGATGACATTTCCATGTAACACTAAAAGAACACCTTCCCTTGGCCTCAATAATCAACTTACGAGACTAGTGTTTCTGACCTTTTCACCTCCAAAGTCCAGGAAAACAGCCCAGCATTGGGATTTTATGTGCCCCAGGCATGAAACAGCTCTGGCCACCAACCCAGGCATCAAGCTAGGATGAACAAAGGGCTAGACATCTGCTTTGCCCCTGGCTGATATAAGAGCACCACCACCAATCCGGTGTCTCTTTGCCCATAGCCAGGGGGTTGTTTCATAAAGCAACCAAACTTGCCCAGCTAGCCAGGCCCCACCCAGCAGCCTTCCCATCTGACTCAGGAAATGGGTGGAGTGAGTGATGCTTATTGTGTTTGGATAGAAAAAGGCTTATAATTAAGAAATCTTAAGATGGAAGTCAACTGACTATAGATCATCTCTCTTCCCCACAGTTCATTTCTTCCAAAGTGGCAGTAGTTGGAGCACATAACGTCTGTTTTTTGGATTATGCTCATCGTTTTTAAATTAAGTTCTTCAGGGAAGAGGAAAGAAGCTAAACTCACCTGCTGAGCCAACTCTCTAGTGGGTGCCAGGACTAAGGCCTGGGTGGCCTTTAGATCCAATTCAATCTGTTGCAGAATTGATATGGCAAAAGTGGCAGTTTTCCCAGTCCCAGATTGGGCTTGAGCAATCACATCATAACCTGAAAAAACAAGGAAATTTGATATGGTTAAGAAGCACTCTTTGGAACAGTGGGACATTCAAAGGCCCTGCTCAACAAAGTCAACAAGCAACCGAGAGAGATTAAGTGCCAAGCATTAAGTGCTTCAGACTTTCTATCACAACATGGTACCCAGAGAACAGATCTTGAAGCCAGGTCAGGTTATTAACTCATTTGGTACAGCCGCACTAAAACACTACCTTATTGAAATTACACCAGCAATCCACGTATCCAGGGCATGAACCAGGCATGGGCACAAATCAAAAGCCAAGCTGGGATAAACAAGGGGTTGCTTTAGCCCTGGCTGATATAAGACAGGCACCACCAACCAGGTGCCACTCTACCCAGGTCAGGGACAGTCAAGAACTTGTTGGATCTTACCCTTGATACAAGGAAGAATGGCTCGCTGCTGGATAGCAGAGGGCTTCTCAAAACCATAAGCGTAGATGCCACGGAGGAGGGATTCTGAGAGGTTCATGTCGTCGAAGCTGTCAACAATCTCATTCCAGTTACTCTGTACGATGCAAAAAAAAGAGTAACAGAAATGAGGCTGTGCTCTTGCACTAAAACAAACAGGACCTTGTGCTTGCACAGAAACTTCACAGCCTACAACCTTTTCTCTCCAGGGAAGTCAGCTGGCTCTTTAATGGTCTGAAAAAAACACTCTAAGGGGTCAGTCCACTTGTAACAGTGAGGCAGATATAGCAGAAGGAAAGACAATCAACTTGAATGATGCCTTTTAAACATAATTTTTTTAAACTTTTACTCTATTTCTAAAAAGTCACTAAAGAAGTTAAGATTTCCTGTCTAACTATGTGATAGTTTAAGGAGTAAAGTTAAATCCTGGGTTCTGGCTTTAGTCACTGAAGCCACCACTACAAAAACCAGGGAACAATGCTAGTGGCACTGCCTTTTCCCAGAGATAAAGGATAAAGGTGGTAGGGGTCCAACCTCACCTCGATGACGCCTTCGGGTTCCATCCCATCGGGGCCATTGTCTCTGGATCTGTTGGTTTAAAGTATGGAGTATGTAGAAATCCTGACAGCTGGGCTCTTCCTACCAACAACCGGCTTTTCATGATACCATGAGCCTTCACTTCCTGATCCAACCCCCACGAGTTTCCAGAAGATAGTTATTTTACAACTGAGTCAGGTCTTTGCCCCATCCCGGGAGCGGCTCAAGCCACGCCGACCCCGACATGATGGGGTAACCCTCCTAGATGACCCTGAAGCTTGAAAGAGCGGCGCTGCGCTTAAGGGGCGCGGGGGTGGTGGTTGCGGCCGGACCCACGTGTCCTGGGCCTGGCTGCTCCAAGCCCCAGCGCGTGTACCTCCCACCACGGCCCCAGCGCGCCGGAAGTCCCGCCCTTCACCTCCCAGATGCCGGGGTAGGACATCCCCTTCCCCCCACGTCATTCCGCCCGCGCCCTCCCCCACTCCTTCCAGCCCATCTCCCCCCTCGCGGTGCCCGGATGTGGGAGGCCGCGGGCGGTGGCGGCCCCGCGCACAATGAGCCCCAGCCGAACTAGCAAAGGGGAGATTGCACAACACTTAAAGCGAAGCGGACTGGGGGAGGGGAACGCCTCAGGCCGCCATGTGCTCGCTCCCTCGACCACCCGGCGGCGTCCCCCCAACTCCGGGAAACAATCCACATCCCACCCGCTCCCGTCGCGAAATGGCGTCGCCCTCCCATACCTCAGGCCGCTCACCCCCGAAGGAAAGTGGACCTGCCCATCCGCAGTTTGCCAATTGCCCGGCTTGTGCGGCAAAATGGGCCCGCCCGCCCGGCGCCGGGTGGGATCCCGGTGCCTCACGCGGCCGCTCCTCGGGGTTAGGCTGGGTCCTGGCCGTCAAGAAAACCAGCACACTGAACGGCCGGTTTCTTTCCCCCCGACCCGTAGCTCCACGCGACCAAGCGACTGGATTTTAGGACCCAGGCACCCCCGCCTTCGGCGAGTGGTACCGTCAGAATCCTCCGGATCCCGAGCGCGCGAGCCTTCCCTCTCTCAATGAGGCAACCGGACAGGCGGCTCCGGGCAACGCACGGCCGAGACCACCTCTATCTTTTTTCTCCAGGGCAGGTCACGACCTCGCCGCCCTACTCAGCGCCAGGGCTTCGCGCACCGCGTCGGTCGGGGCCACCTAACGACCCTCGCACTCTGGGCCCCGAAAGCCGGACTGTCCTCAGCCTCTACCTAGGCCCTGGCAGCAGCGTTGGCCGTGGACCCGCCCCTCACTCCCCGAGGACTGGTCCTCCCGGCTTGGTCTCCCCGCAGCCCTAGAGGACCTAGGGCAGCGGGCCTCAGCTACCCCCGTCGGGGCCCTCGGAAAGGGCGGCAGAGTAAGTAGCCCCCTCTTGCAAATGTTTCTTACCGAGAATCCTGACTCGCAGACATGATCCTTAGAAACTAGGGCGGAGTGCCCGCCTATCGACAACTTATAGAGCGCCCGACCCCGCCCCAGCCATTGCATTGGCTTGGCCGCCTCGGCCCCGCCCGCCGCCGCTCAGAGACTCGGCGTGACGTGAGTTCGCAGGCGCTCTGGCACGCAGCCACCATTGGGTAACTTGAACGCCTGTCAAGATGAGGACCAGCCCCGCTGCCTCATTGGCTAAAGGGCCCGCCTTTCTCGCCGGTACGGAAGTGACTTATAGGAGTCAGGCCTCGCGGCCTGGCAGCCATCTTGGGGCCCTGCACCCCTACACGTGCGGAGGCGAGAGTGCCCTAGTCACGTGGCCGAGCAGGCCCTATCACGCAAGGGGGGCGAGGCTTCAGCCTACAGGGATTTCCGGGCTCCCGAGACTACCACTTCTCTCCACCTCTGCTCCAGGTCTCCCCTGAACCCACTTTATTCTCTGTGGCAGTAATGATAAATCGGACGCCAACCCCGATGTGTTCCAAGTGTACAGGGATGTGGAATCGGGAGCCGTACCCTAGCAGCTGGGAGGGTTCCTCTGGTTGGAGGGCGGAGGAATGGAATAACTGACTTCCAGGATTAAGATCATGAATCCTGGCCCGTTCCTTAAGTGTCCCGTTTCCCCAACTTTAGCACCGCTCAAATTCTCTTATGTTTGAGGCTTACCGACTTTCCCGCCTTCCAGCCCCGACTCCCAAGACTGGGGGATACTTTTGGTTGAGGATATGGTGCTGGCACTATCTGAGCCACGATGGAAAGCTGGTCCCTGAAGTCTCGACCCATAAAAGGGTAGCTAACAGCACTGGCTGGAGGAAAGCCTAAGATATCCACTTGAGACCCCTTAAGGAAGACCACCACCATGTATCTCCAAAGGATCCTTTATTGACGAGAGCAGGACCGTGGCATTTATATATATATAGATATATATATATAAAAAAAAAAGTTTGAAGATATGGCAGGCAGTAATCCCTTTGCCCGCCCACCACCCCCAGCACAGATTTTCCTGCCCGCCCCCCGGCCCTACACACGGAAGGGAGATGACTGCCCCACCCAGGCCACAAGGCCATACTCCCCTGCAGACAGAGGGAAAACGGGGATTTTCCATGGCCACCCCCTGAACATAAGAAATAACAAGTATTCTCTCAAAGGAAAAAAAAATTAAAACATTTAAATATGAAAAACCAAAGGGAATTGGGTGGGAAGAGGCAAGAGAGGAAAGGAACTGGAGTTTCTTGGGAAAGAAGGGTCTCCCATGTCCCCCTGCCCATTAATGAATGGGCTTGAGGCCTGGGATACGAGGCTCACACAGTGAGTTTGCAGTGACACAGCTCCTTGTAGATCTGTCGACGAAGTTTGGGCATGTCCTGCTGGGTGAAGCTGAATGGCTGAGACAGGGCCAGGTGCTTGCAATACTGGGTGTTAACAAAGCAGGCCATAAGAACCACCTACCGAGCATCCCCCCAAGTCAGGACCCGTGCTACACATTTCATATGATACACATTTCCCTGAATCTTTCCAAGAATATTCTCATTTCACAAACAGGAAGCCAAAGTCCCGTAGATTGGGGCTCAAAAAAAAGGACCTGACTATAAAGCCAAAATTCCTATTTAGTATATGCAATAGCTAGTGTTAACAGAGAAAACTTTGCACTGGGGATCAGGAGGCAGCTACATCAGGGCCAGAGACCAGGGACCACAGACCCAGTCCCAAAGTAGTATGGGGAAGCCAAGAGAGGACCAATGAAATCAGGGTTTCTGCATTAACGCATAACATTACTCCTGCTCCACTAGTGGCCGTGAGGGATGCAGACCAGCTTCCCGCCTCCCTCGCAACCTTCTAACCCAACTGATACCTGCTTACCTGCAACACAAAGGCGCCACAGTCACTGTCATTATTCTGCCTTGCCACATTCTAGAGAATGAAAAGGTAGGTAGGTAGGCCCTTCATCTGGAGACCTTAGGGTATGACTTCAGCTTCTAACTCCTATCACTTCCTGTCCCCCACCCCTCACTCCATAACCCTCCTCTTGAAACTTACCATTTTGAAGTAACCTTTCCAGCCCTGGTGGAAATCCAGCCGGTCTTTCTTCACTGCCTCTGCCTGTAGATACTTGGCAATATGCTGTGTAGGTGGAGACAAGGAGGAAGTGATGCCCTACTGAACCCAGGGTGTGGTGGTCAAGGCACCAAGCCCAGGCTGCTTCTCTAAGACCCCAAACCCACCCTTCTGCCTGAAATGCCTTGCCACTGGATCTCCCCGCCACATTCTGCTCTTCCCTTTCAAACCTTAGGGCAGCGGCGGTTTAGGGTGCGCTGCGAGTCAAAATAGGTGATGGTGCGCCGCCTCACATCAACAGAGATGAGGGACCAGTGCACCTCCAGGTGGATAGGGATTAGCAGTAGCTCCTTATTGAAGATGTCCACCTAAGGAGACAGTGCCGGAGGTCAGGTAAGACGGCACAAAATTCCTGCCTGTTGCCAGGAGGGTTCTAAAGAGGAATGGAGGAGCAGGCAAGGAGCCAACTGGGAGAACTCAAGGCCCAGTCACTAGACTTTGAGACAAGGCTCAACATCTGGATGTCTGGATTCCTAGGATAAGGGAGGAAGACAGGAAATGGAGGTAGTGCCAGAACAAGCAAGTGCTTAGTAGCTAAGAACCCAGGCTCAGGATCCTGGAGCCAGACTCTAAGGGTTCAAACCCAGCTCTTCCATTTAATAGCTTATGACCACAGGCAAATTATTTAAGAACTCTCTGTACCTCAGTTCCCTTTTCTGTGAAAGGATGAAAATAACAGTACCTACCCTCACCTGTTTGTTACGAAGATTAAACTAGTTAATATCTATGATACACTAAGAACAATGTGTGGCACCTAGAAAATGCTCAATCAGTTAATGCTCACAACAATCCTGTGAGGAAATTCACACGTCAACCATGAGGAAGCTGGCTTGGAAAAGTAAAGTGACTTGCCCAAGGTCGTGGAAGAAATGGCAGAGGTTGGATTTAAACAAAGGCATATAAAGGCCCAGTTCTTTCCACTGCATGTCACCCCACCTCTACCAGGAGAAGAAGGCCTGCCAGGTTCCTGAGGGTGTAAAGTTAAACTCTTGAACCTGGGGACAGGAATTAAGAAAAGCTGGAGCCAACCGTCCCACCTCATTGTAATTTCCTGGCCTTTGAATGGGAGAACAGGTAAACTAATTAGAGGGGAAAAGAACTCTTTTTTTCCCCTCACCAAACCTGCTCCCCCCCTAATTATTTTCCCCAGTAACTTAGGCCAAAACTCTAAGCATCATCCTTGATTCCTGTCGTTTCTTCATTTCTCATGTCCAGTCTGTCAGAAAGTCCTGTCGGTTCTACTTGCAAAATTTATCCGAGATTAAACTACTTCTATTTCTACCTTTACCACTCTGGTCCATGTTTCTCACCTGGACTTCTGTGCTATGCTGGTCGATCTGCCTGCTTCCACTCTTGCCCCCTTTCAACCTATCACTGAACAGGAGTTTAACACAGTCTGCTTAAAACTCTTCAATGGCTTCTCAAAACACAGATTAAGACCCACTCTCCTCAGCCTACCCTCCACGCCTCACACGATCTGCTCTCTGACAAAAACTCTGTATCATTTTCCCTTTGCTCACTCTGCTCCAGCCACATAGGCACTCACATGGGCCTTCTGTTCCTCAAATGTTCTTTCTCGCTCTGTGTCCCACAGACTTGCTGTTCCCTCTACTGAGTATACTCTTGCACCAGATCTGCACGTGGTTGGCTTCTCATCATTCAAATCTCAGTAAGAGAGGCCTTCCCAGACCACCCAATGTAAAGTCCCTGCTTCCCAGGCTACTACATTACTGTTTTAATTTGTTCACACCACTTATCAGTAACAGAAATTTAACTTGCTTATTTATTCTCACCCCATAAAGGCAAGAAGTTTTCCTTATTTAATACTGTATCCTTAGTACCCAGAATAGCACCTGGCACACAGAAGACAATTACTAAATATTTGAGAGACTGCATGAACAGGGTTGGGGAAAGGGCTCACAGGAAACAAAACTCTAATTCTTTAGAGGGAAAGTGATACACAAGTAGATGTAAATTCATAACTCACGTTTTTGGTCCACCTTTTCACCCCATCATAACCCTTGGTACGGAGTTTATCGTAGAAGAAACTGTTGAAGAAATGTACCTGTGCCAATGACACAAAAGAGCTGGATAGAATTAAAAGACCGCAGGCCCTCCTGCTAAATGTCCTCTCCCCAGCCCACTCCACTTCATTATGACCCTAAGAACTGCTTTCAGCAAACTCCAGTTGTTTTCAACTCACTGAGGGTAAAAACACAAAATTGTTTTTGATCTTATCTTATAGCTTCCCACCCCAATTTGTCGGGTTAGCCATAGGAGAAAAACACCGAAGACTAGAGGAAAGGAACAGAACTGATAAATTTAGGACCAAGATTACAGATTTGAATTTAACAAATTACCTTCTACCACCTCTCCCCAGAAACAAAAACTCTCTTTATATAAAATGGAAGAGATGAAAGGGACTGATTAAGCTGCTTAGAACTGCAGAAATTCTTCCACGGACTGGAGCATCTGGTTAGGCCTACCTTTTCAGGGACTGTGTCCATGACCAGGTCTCCATACATGTTCATCACCTGGGGAGAAGACAGAAGGCAACTTGCCATGGAGGTTGGGGCATGGGTACAGGGCTCTCCCATGCAGAGGGCCCTACACACCCTGCTCCCTGAATCCCCTCTTGGGTCTGTTTCTCCACATCTCCTTACCTGGTCATTGAGCCAGTTCTGTCCATACAAGGTCCCCAAGTCGTCCATGGTCAGCACATGCCGCTTATAGGTGACTCGGAAGCCCCTCACCATGGCATTGCCTGGCATCCGCTGGTATGACTGGATCAGCTGCAGCACCAGGCCCTTCCTGGGTAGGCCAAGGGTGGAGTCACACAAGAGATGAGGGGGCTAAGGCACACAGAAGTACCTTCTACTGCCCAGAATAAGAACCTAAACTAACCTTTTTTTTTTTTTTCAGGTTTGGGGAGGTGTTGTGTGTCCTTCTGAGAAACTACTAAAGCCCAACTCCCCAGTAAGACGCACATGAATACTCAGGTACACGTAGTATTTCAGGGTCCCAGTAATGACCCTCCCAGTTGGCTTACAGGGGCTTACACCTTGTCTGCAGAGTCCTCCCCTTCAGTCCTAGCTTTCTCCTTCTCCCCAACTACATCCCTATGGGAGAAAAGGCAGCAGCGTTCTCACCCCATCTCCCAGGTCCCAGCCCTCTTCTAATGATCATCTCTCTCATGCCTTACCTGGAAGGTGTAGAGAACTCCTGCTGGAAAATGTCCTCCAATTTCTCTACTACCTCATCAGTGCTAAGGGGGATAAGGCTGCCGTAAGTTTGAAGGAATTCATCCAAGATGCCTGAGTGGAGGAGGGAGAGAAGAGTGGGGTAAGGCCTCCAGACTCTGATCTAGGAGTTGGCTGAAGGAAAGAGACTAGATCCTCTAGGGTTCCTTACTCTGCACACAGGTGACATGCTCCTCCCGCAGGGGGCTGTGCTGGCCAGCTTTCTCCCCAGGCCGCTCTGCTTCCTCTGTAGTGCCCAAATCTGAGCCCTGAAAAAGCTCCTGGGCCACATGGTCCCCGATGCTGCACACATTGCTGATGAGGATGCTGGCATCAGGGGGTGCCAGACTCCGCTCCCCTTCTGGCCCAGGTGGTCCCCCAAAGCCATTGGGCAGAGTACAAGAGAGAAGGCCTGTAGGGCAGGGGAAACAGGATGAAAGCAAGAAACTGTCTCAGATCAAAGGACAATGGGAAGGTTAAATGATGAACACAAATTATAAGACCACAAGAAGGATGAATTAAAACAGAAATCTACTGATATAATCTCTAAGGAATGGATACCCTAAAGCATAAGATGAGCATGCCCAAGAGGTTATAAAGGACAGAGAGGAAGAGTCACTACAGGCATACCTCAGAGATATTGTGGATTTGTTTCCAGACCATTACAATAAAGTGACTATTGTAATAAATCAAATCACAAGTTTTTCAGTTTTCCAGTGCAAAAAAACCTTACATTTATACTATACTGTAGTCTATTAAGTGTGCAATAAGCATTATGTCTAAAAAAATCAACGTGTATACACTAATTTAAAAAGGCTTTGTTGCTAAAAATGCTAACCATCATCTGAGCCGTCAGTGAGTTGTAGCCTTTGAAATACTGCAAGAATTATCAAAATGTGACACAAACGTGAACTGAGCAAATACTGCTGGGAAAATGGCACTGACAGACTTGCGCTACTCAGTGTTGCCACAAACCTTCAATTTGTAAAAAATGCAATGTATTCAAAGCACAGTAAAGTGAAGTGCAATAAAACGAGGTATGCCTGTACTCATAAACAGGAGGAAAGCAAGAAAAGACTAGGATTCAGAGAGAAATAAATTTCAGAGATATCTGTCACCACTAGTACCTAGCATAGTCCTTGCACACAGCAAAGGCTTGATAAATAGTCAAATAATTACTTAAAGACATAGAGAGCCTGAAGTTGTTTTGTTGGGATTCTCCAAAAAAGAAATACTCTGAGTGAGAGTGTCACACACACTACTCAGACCCCATCCCACCACTGTAAGAATGGCACCCTCTGGAGATGTACCTACAGAGGCCCTTATCCTGAGAGGCCAGGTGAAGAGGGATTTCAAGTGGACAAGATTGTCTGACTTTTCTAAACCATGACTCCCTTTCTCATCTACACATATGACAGCTACTTAGGGATTCTGTATCCCAGCCTTGACTCTCTCCCCAGACTTAGCTCCTGCTCAAAGTGGGACTTAAAACCTTTCACAGCTATTCTGGACCCCCTCACTCTGCCATCCTACTTTCCTTAGATCTAGTTCTCCACAGCAAGAGGTTCCTGGTCCCCCCAGGATCTAGCCCTCCCCAGCCCCTCTGCCCCATTTCCATCTTACCCGAGTCAGGGTCCAAAGGAGACTTTGGAGTCCACCTTAATCCATCTTCCTCCATGGGGGGCCCAGAGGGCACTGGTGGAGACCCTCTCACCCCATCCTCAGCCATGAGAGCACCTAGCAGACCCAGCCGGGGTGGAGGTGGTCCCCGGGGGGAGTCAAAACGACAGCAGGGAGAGGGCACCTGTGGGGTCGCACCCCCTTCCTGGGGTGAAAGATGGTTCTTGGGGTGTGCGAGGCTCCGCCGCCGGCCCCGGTGGCGCCCCCAAAGCTTCCAGTGGAATGTCAGCGAGGTGCTTTTTGAGTAGAGCAGCATCTGGAAGGCTCTCATAGCTCTGCGACGGCGCTGTGAACAGGTTTTCCGATGAGTAGGACGGGGAGGGCGAGGCCGCTGGGGGGTTCCCAGCTGACCCCATCTGGGGGGCAGCCTCCAGGCTGCCACTTCCTCTTCCTCATCTTCATCTTCGTCCTCCTCTTCTTCTTCCTCCTCTTCACTAGCTGAGGCATCAAAAGAAGGCCGGGGGACAGGGAGGCGTCTGGCTGGCATTGTGGTCCCTGACCCAGGATCTGGCCCAAACCCTCCACCTGATTTGAGTCGGGGTTTGGGGGTGGGGGCCAACGAAGACGCTCCCGCCTGGGACTTGAGTAAGCTGGGGTTATGCCGGGTCCAGGAGGCTCAGGCCCCCAAGACCCGGTCCCTTGTATAGTCTCTTTCATCTTCCAGTAGCCTGTAAAACAAAGGTCAGGGTGTCAGAATTCAAACATCCAATACCCCAGATCCTGCTCTTCCTCAGCATGCCTCTTCTGCAATCAGATGCAAATAAACTGAGGAAAACCCAAAAAACTCCTAACTACAGATCTTCCCAGTTAACACAGTCCACAAGATGCCTTCTACTGTCTGTGCCACCATCTCTCTCCTGCCTGGATAGAAGCAAGGGAGAATGGTTAAGTAACAGGCCTCTGGGCTCTTATTTCTCAGATCCCTAGGTCAAATCCAGTATTTTCAGGCTGTACTTCTCTATTTAAATATCACCAGGATGTCCTAGTTGAGAGACTAATAAAGGAGATGGCTCAGTACGGGAATCCTGACACGGTACAGAGATACTTGACTTCCACAGGGAAACCGTGGTCTAAAGTGGGAAGAGTTCTCTATGACCCTGGAATGAATGGAGGGGTGTGAGCATGCTCAGGTCGTCTCAAGAGGGAATGGTGATACCAGGGCTATGGCTCAGGTACTAGAATCTAACGAAAAGGGAAGGATTTTAAAGGAAACTACAAGAGAACTGAACTGGCACTTAGGCAGTCGAATCAAGGCGCTGGGACAGAACTGAGCCGAGCCAGGCTGGCCCAGCCCCCTCTCCTGCTCCGTCCCCGGGGACCAGAATGCGTCCCAACACCGGTATGGTCCTATAGGTTCGGGGGGGCTCGGCGTGCAAGGGCTTTAAGAAGCCCCTTCGAGGGCCTCGTGGGCCCCGGTTGGGTGGGAATGAGGTCCAGAAATGGGAGAGGCTGCGGCAGAGCTGGGGGGGGGCGTCCTCACCGGGAGCGGGGAAGCCGGGCGGACAGGCCCGAGGGCGGGCGTCTCTGGCCTCAGGCTTCCCGGCTCATCTCTCCGGCGACGGCAGCGGCCCCGCCACTCCTGCTGTCTTCAGGCGCAGCCGTCTCAATTCAGGATTCCAACTCCTCTGGGCCGCGCGCCGCGCCGCCGAGCCGCCCCGCCGCAGCTGCCGCTTGCTCTGCTTCAGCTTCCACCTCCACCACCTCCCCCTCCTCCTCCTTCCCCTCCCGCGAGCCCCAGGCCCACCGGCGGTGGCGGCGCACAATTAGTACGTCACACCCGGCGAACAGCGCCGGCGCGGCCACCACGCGCCTATTCCCGCCTACCCGAGAACTTAGACGCCAAAGGACCGTCCCGCCCACGAGACTCACGCAGGGCTGCGCCTGCGCACACCCTCTCGACCGGAGCCGCGCGGGGCGGCCCCGCCACTCGCTCTTTTGCGCCTGCGTGCCTCGTGCCGCTCTCCTGCGCCCCGCCCCCGCGCTGTGTAGCCCTGCCTTCCACGCGCTGGCAGCAACACGTTGCTCAGTGAGGCGCGTCAGATGAGGGCCGGGAGGGCGGGGAAATCCCAGTACGGGCTGAGGAGCCGAGGCAAAGCAGTGGGAGAAATGGATCCGAGCTTTATTTATTCTCCTTTATTTTTTTATCTTTAGGCAGGTTTTGCACAGAAAGGAGAATTCAGGGAGACAGGACCAGCACCAGGGCGTACGATTCATCCAAGGCTCCTCGGCGACCGGTCCCAGCACAGACAGGTTTAGAGTGGCCTGCCACGCCAGGGCAATGGAGAGCAGGAAAGGCAACGCTGAGACCCGAGGAGTAATAATGTGGATCCGAGGGGACCGTCATTGCCAGGCACCCTCTGCAGACGGGCACATAATAGTTGCACCGCTGGAGTTAGTGATGGAAACTGGAGCACAGTTGATGGAGAGAGGGAAATGAGTATGAGGCTTCTTGTGGGGTGAAGAGGTAGAGGGTACCTGGAGAGAGGTTTGGCATAGGGAACCAGGAGTTTTCCTGAGTGGAGGGAGGCTTCCTGGACTTCTGCTAACACACAGGATGATTGTCTCAAACTGCCGCTAGATGGTGGTGCTGTTCTGGAAGCATTCCAGTGGGACCCAGCTAGTCTAGACAATGCCTGGCATCACCACCCCCCAGCTCCCTCAAGAATTTGGGGCTGGATGGAGAATAAAAGCAAGGTTTTAAAAATCTCTTTAATATCCATGAATTCAGAGTCCTGGGGGTGAAGGTGGAGGTGGAAAGAGAAAAGGGAGGAAGGGAGAGTCATGAGCTGTCAAAGCCTGGATTCCTGTCAAACCCAAAAGAGGCCTCTGTTCCTGCGTATTCCCTGTCCTTTGTCAAGTCAGCTCTTGGCTGTCTATAAAACGTACCCACCCTGGTCTTCCAAGCTCAGAACCATCTTTTGCAACACAATCACAGTTTCACAACCCCCAGGAAGGTTCCATGTGGAGAAAGGCTAAGCTTCGCCCTTGCCCGAGGGATTACAACACTCAGAATATCTCCTTGGTGTAAATGGAAGACACCTGAGAAAGGAGAGAATATGTAAGCTCAGTAAAGCACAGCCTTGCAGATACTCTGATGTTTCACCTTCCCATCTCCAGCTCAGTT